CCCAGACTATTTGCATTGCCCCCACCCCTCTTTTACGCTGCTGCTACTCTCTGTTTATGATCTACAGTGAGGGAAAAAAGTATTTGATCCCCTGCTGATTTTGTACGTTTGCCCACTGACAAAGAAATGATCAGTCTATAATTTTAATGGTAGGTTTATTTGAACAGTGAGAGACAGAAAAACAACAACAAAATCCAGAAAAACGCATGTCAAAAATGTTATTAATTGATTTGCATTTTAATGAGGGAAATAAGTATTTGACCCCTCTGCAAAACATGACTTAGTACTTGGTGGCAAAACCCTTGTTGGCAATCACAGAGGTCAGACGTTTCTTGTAGTTGGCCACCAGGTTTGCACACATCTCAGGAGGGATTTTGTCCCACTCCTCTTTGCAGATCTTCTTCAAGTCATTAAGGTTTCGAGCCTGACGTTTGGCAACTCGAACCTTCAGCTCCCTTCACATATTTTCTATGGGATTAAGGTCTGGAGACTGGCTAGGCCACTCCAGGACCTTAATGTGCTTCTTCTTGAGCCACTCCTTTGTTGCCTTGGCCGTGAGTTTTGTGTCATTGTCATGCTGGAATACCCATCCACGACCCATTTTCAATGCCCTGACTGAGGGAAGGAGGTTCTCACCAAAGATTTGACGGTACATGGCCCTGTCCATCGTCCCTTTGATGCAGTGAAGTTGTCCTGTCCCCTTAGCAGAAAAACACCCCCAAAGCATAATGTTTCCATCTCCATGTTTGACGGTGGGGATGGTGTTCTTGGGGTCATAGGCAGCATTCCTCCTCCTCCAAACACGGCGAGTTGAGTTGATGCCAAAGACCTCAATTGTGGTCTCATCTGACCACAACACTTTCACCCAGTTCTCCTCCAAATCATTCAGATGTTCATTGGCAAACTTCAGACGGGCTTGTATATGTGCTTTCTTGAGCAGGGGGACCTTGCGGGCGCTGCAGGATTTCAGTCCTTCACGGCGTAGTGTGTTACCAATTGTTTTCTTGGTGACTATGGTCCCAGCTGCCTTGAGATCATTGACAAGATCCTCCCGTGTAGTTCTGGGCTGATTCCTCACCGTTCTCATAATCATTGCAACTCCACGAGGTGAGATCTTACATGGAGCCCCAGGCCGAGGGAGATTGACAGTTCTTTTGTGTTTCTTCCATTTGCGAATAATCGCACCAACTGTTGTCACCTTCTCACCAAGCTGCTTGGCGATGGTCTTGTAGCCCATTCCAGCCTTGTGTAGGTCTACAATCTTGTCCCTGACATCCTTGGAGAGCTCTTTGGTCTTGGCCATGGTGGAGAGTTTGGAATCGGATTGCTTGATTGCTTCTGTGGACAGGTGTCTTTTATACAGGTAACAAGCTGAGATTAGGAGCACTCCCTTTAAGAGTGTGCTCCTAATCTCAGCTAGTTACCTGTATAAAAGACACCTTGGAGCCAGAAATCTTTCTGATTGAGAGGGGGTCAAATACTTATTTCCCTCATTAAAATGCAAATCAATTTATAACATTTTTGCCATGCGTTTTTCTGGATTTTTTTGTTGTTATTCTGTCTCTCACTGTTCAAATAAACCTACCATTAAAAATATAGACTGATCATTTCTTTGTCAGTGGGCAAATGTACAAAATGAGCAGGGGATCAAATACTTTTTTCCCTCACTGTATGCATAGTCACTTTAATAACTCTACCTACATGTACATATTACCCCAATTACCTCGACTAACCGGTGCCCCCACACATTGACTCGGTACCGGCACCCCCTGTATATAGCCTCGCTATTGTTATTTTTACTGCTGCTCTTTAATTATTTGTTACTTTATTTTATATTATTTTATATTGTATTTTTTTGTGTATTTTTTTAATTCTTTCTTAGAACTGCATTGTTGGTTAAGGGCTTGTAAGTAAGCATTTCACTGTAAGGTTGTATTCGGCGAATGTGACAAATACAATTTGATTTGATTTGATTTGATTTAGAACATGAGGCGACATCCTTGGATGCCCAAATACGGTGAAAGAAATGGAGGTTGCCAAAATCAGGGAAGTTCAGTCTGTTTCCTATGCCGAGGTGGTAAAAAGCGTAGAAAGTCCAGAAGGTCCGATGGTAGTGAATGCCAGTAGATCTACACTGCAACATACATTTACTTTAGCCTGCGTATCACCAGCAGGACATATAAATTATTAATGTAAAGAAAGTGGACTTTGTGTCTTTTATAGTGATGGTGGTAAATGGCACATCACAAGTTGAAAAGAAGTCAAGAAAGATCAACATCATTGTTTATGCAACTAAACTATTTCTGGGTCTAAAAGATTTCACATCCAAGGAACTACATGGAATACTGTCTCGTGTTGTCTCATTTGAGTTTTCGAATGACTGAAGGAGTGGGAATGTATATATTTTTGTTAATTATTATTTTTTTAAATGTAGTCTACATTTTTTGTCATTTAGCAGACGCACTTATCCAGAGCGACTTACAGTTAGTGAGTGCATCCATTTTTCATATTGGCCCCATGGGAATCGAACCCACAACCCTGGCGTTGCAAGCGCCATGCTCTACCAACTGAGCTACAGGAGGCCCTAGTACAGTTTGTGAGGATTAATGTTAATTTTCCCTTCCCATATGGAATTTACTTTTCTTTTTTTTCACCCCTGTCCAGTTGGTGGCAACAATACACCTTTTGCGTGTAGTTCGCCATAAAACCCAAAGAAGAAGTCTTATTAATATCTAACCAACTAGCTGTTCTGTTATCCAGACCACTCATGTACAGTTGTCACGGCAAAAGGTCAAAATGGATATATCGTAAAAATTCATGAAAACAAAAATGAGCTTTTTGGTCTTCATTTAAGGTTAGGGTTAGGCATAAGGTTAGCAGTGTGGTTAGGGTTTGGTTTAAAATCACACCTGTCAATATAATACGTTGTCATCCCTACTGCCTCTGATCTGGCGGACTCACTAAACACAAATGCTGTGTTTGTAAATTATGTCTGATTGTTGGAGTGTGCCCCTGGCTGTCCGTAAATTTAAAAAACAAGCAAATCGTGCCGTCTGGTTTGCTTAAGATAAGGAATTTGTTGTATAGCATTTACTTTTTACTTTTACTCAAGTATGTCAATTGAGTACTTTTTCCACCAGAGTACATTTAAAACCAGATACTTTTAGGCTCAAGTAGTATTTTACTGGGTGACTCACTTTTACTCGGGTCATTTTCTATTAAGTTATCTTTACTTTTACTCAAATATGACAACTGAGCACTTTTTCCACCACTGTCACTAATCAATGATCATTCATTCCAAAGATTCTGTGGCGACTTAGTACACCATATTTGCTACTCCCAAAAAAGTCAGCGGACGTCTTCGTATAATTACGGTCAGCTGCGTTATTCACCGGAAGTCGTTTTGTGTACACAGACAGAAACTTGGGCCTTGGCCAGGGGCTGCTTTACAAGTGGGATGCATTGATGAGCGCTACATCCTTTGGGTTCATGCTGAATGTACTGAGATTGTGACAGACGGTTAAATGGTGTCCCTAGACAAGGCAAGAACTAGATGTATGTCAGGAGAAGTGCAGTACTATCGTAAGGAGAGTTATACTTGGAATACGGAGGAGGAATGGAGGGAAAAAGAGAGGCAGAGGAGGTCTAAGAGAGAGAGGGAGGAAGAGGGTGAGCTTGAGTCAGTTAAAAATGGCGGGAAAAATGGAGATAGTTTGTTAGAGAAGAATGGAAGAAAGTGTAAGCAGAGTGAGTTGAAGACAGGAGGAGAAATGGAAGTGAATGAGGGCGAAGTATTGGAGGTGGTAGGTGTGGTGAAGTTCTCGGAGCCCGAGGTTTGCACCGAGGGTCAGGATAATAATGAGTCTGTGACAGTAGGAGTGACGTTTTTGAAAGAAGTGGATCCTTGCCTTTTGGCTGATCCATTTGTGGTTTCAGGGTGGGTTGGGTGCTGTGGAATCGGTGAGGGTAACCAGAAGTGGTCTAGTGATAATTGTTTGTGTTTCTGCTGGTCAGAGGGAGCAGGCGCTCCGTGTTAAACGAATGGTGGCAAGAGATGTGAAGTGTTTGCTCTCAAGAAAAGGGCACCATTGAAAGGTGTGATTACTGGGGTAGCAGTAAATGTGAAAGCTGACCAACTGAAGGGGAAGATTCCCGGTGTTTGTGATGCTCGTCGATTGGTGCGACGCAGACAGGGTGGCGTGAGGGAGAAACAGAAGAGTCATTGTCTGTTCTTCTGAGTTTTGATGTTGAGTCTTTGTTAGGATATATAACTTATCCGGTATGAGCGTTTGTGCCAAATACATTACGTTGTTACAGGTGTCAAGCTTATGGGCATGTGGCAGCAGTGTGTAGGAGGGAGGTTCCTAGATGTGAGAAGTGTGCAGAAGGGCATGAGACAAAGGAATGTAGAGGAAGATGGGTCAAGGGGGAGGGATCCTGAGAGGAATGGTGTGAGTAGTAGATCTGTACCAATACAGATGGATAAACCAACAAGTGATATATGTTTCAGTAAGATTGGATTTTTGGCATTTATAGCAATGGTTATCAACTGTACTGCAGGGATGGAATATAAGTTGCAGAAAATAGAGGTTGTGGTGGCAGCTGCAGAGAGGTATTTGGGTGTGCGAGACTTGACATCAGAAGAGTTACAGGGTGTGTTAAGTGGTGATGTCCCATCCTTTCAGGCTGTTGGCCTGAAGTAGGAATAAATATATTTAAATAGTGGAGTATGGTAGTTATTATTATTTTTATATTTTTTGTGAGTGTAGTGTTAGATGGTAGGGTATTGGTTGTATTTTGTATTTTTTAAAGCAAAGTATAAGGGAGTTATACTCCAGTCTAGTAGGTGGCAGTAATGCAACATTTATTGGATGCCAACAGCCGTTAAACCTTATCGAAGAAGAAGAATTGTACACAGACAGACGCGTCACAGCTTGTCTGATCTGTTTTCCAATTTCTCCCTCTATCTTTTATGTCGCCAGCTATCGATGTCAACAAACATGCAGGCTCATCTGTCTTTACAGACACAACTTGCTTCGATAATGGACGTGCTTGCTAGAGCGGCCGTTGACGAGATCAGTCAACTCTTTTCCGAGAGCTCGGCTGATTTGCACTTGGAGATTTCTCGCAGCTACAAAGAAAACGACGCTCTGAAAATGAGGATGAAGGTGATGAAGAGCGAGCTTTTCTCCCTGCGGCTACAAAGGGCGAGTACACCGCGCGGCAGTCGCTTTTCTTTCAGCAGAACTTTATGCAGGCCTCGGGGGAAACTCACAGGTTGGTTGAGGTTCTCAAACTGCTATCTGGGAGACATCGGGGTATCACAGATTATCCATTATATTGACCAGATACTCTAGTGGCCGCTCGAACAAAATGTCTTTAAAAATGGAAGACAGCTGGGAGGAGGCACTATCAGGTGGGACCTTTCTAGCCAATGAGAGGGCAGATACGTTTGTGAACAACAGGCACAACGGTTTCCATTAGTTTCTACAGTCACAAAATCTATATCGTAAAAAATAGTGAAAACAAACATTTGCTTTTTGGTCTTAATTTAAGGTTAGGGTTAGGCATAAGTTTAGCAGTGTGGTTAGGGTTTGGTTTAAAATCACATTTTAATAAGATAAATAGTAGAAATGGGCGGGGTTTATGACTGTGTCTGAGGTAACTAGTGACGACCAGGCACAACTCTGATATAAAGTGTTTTTTCTCAAAGTTGCCGGGATGTCACGTGTCCTACTTATATCAGTACACTCCTAACAACCTAACCATTAAGACACTTCTATTCGATCAAATAAGCTACACATAGCAAATAAGCCATTACATCTTTTGTTAACCAAATTCGACACCCTCATTGACCTCCATACAAAGACTTAGCTTGCTGTGAGAAAAAAAAAACGAAATCGCAACCTGCTGGAAAATACAGATTTTGGGCTCAGTTATCCCTCTTGCTTCACCTCATCATCTCTGGGTGGATTCCGTTGGATTCGGTTTAATCAAAACGAAAAACATTTTGCAACATAAACAAGAGTTTCTATTGGCCAAACCTCCTCGTTGTTCTGTTTGCTCTGTTTGCTTCCATTTGGTTCCTAGAGTAAACGGTTTTCTCTCGGACAAAACGTTTTGCAACTGAATCCGACTAATGAATACAAGCCAGTCAATTCAACATAATATGTTGGAAGTGGAATGGTTTTTGACCTTTGCTCTCCCTCATAGATAAGACACCTGAGCACCAGACAGCCGTTTACAGCAGGGATGATGCTCCTATTACAATAGGGGAAGAGGAGATACCATCCACAGTCAAAACAGAGGTGAGTGGCAATAATAACAGCTCATCACACATCGCTGACATAGGCTACTACTACTCTACAAACTACATGTGTTTGTTTTATGGTTCAGTGTGCAGATGTGGAGAGTCCAGATGTCATCTTGATAAAAGATGAGGAGGGGCCTGAGGATGACTTTGGAGGATGTGGGCCAGATGCAGGTGTGTAGAGGAAGAAGAAGAGAAGGAAGAGGATGATGGGATGGTATATAGACAATTGACAGCCAGATAACTACCAGATAATATTATCGTTTTGTTTCCCGTAGGTCATGATGGTATTTGTGGTGAGAATGTTGCCATGGTGACGCCACAGCCGGAACATGCCACCCAGAGACTAGGTCACGATGAGGGACTGTACAGCATGAACAACCCTCATGCTCATGGTCGAGGTGAAGGAGCGCTGTGCAGCGTGACCAGTACTGAGAACTACCCTTTCTTCAGAGCCCCAGAACTGCCCCAGAGTTTGCCCTCACACTCTGGTCTGCTGCCTGACCACACAGTCAACCATCAGATGCAGCTGAATACTCATTCTATTGGGGAACCTCTGCCAGGCAACCCCCCAATGAGGGGCGTGCAAAGTGACAGAGGGGGTCTGCAGAGAGGGGATACAGGAGGACGGGGTCTGAAAATCGTACAGCTAGCTTCCCTAGAAACCACCCCAACAACAACCTTGGCAACAGGGGGTGTGACTGTGAGGCGCCCTAGTCATGTAAACCAGTTCCAGCGCCACCACGTCCCCCACGGTACCAAGCCATTGTTCTGTAGCGACTGTGGGAAGCGCTTCTCTCGCCGGCTTGACTTGATCCGCCACCGGGTGGTCCACACAGGAGAGAAGCCTGTCATATGCAACCTGTGCGGGAATTCGTTTGTCAACAAGACGACACTGAGGGTCCACATGCGTATCCACACGGGGGAGAAACCGTACATGTGCTCCTTGTGTGGGAAGGGCTTCACCCAGAATGGCAGCCTGACCATCCACCTGAGGACCCACTCTGGGGAGAAACCCTACAGCTGCTCCCACTGTGGAGCCTCGTTCAACAACCCCAGCAACCTGCGCAGACACATGGTCACACACCCAGAGCAGGCAGGGACACTGACACTCTGACACACACAACCTCACCGGTGGCCAGTGGAGCTTTAGGCTCTTTATTTTTCTTCAGCATTCTCTCATTCTTGTTCTCTCTCGCTCGCTCTCTCTCTCTCTCTCTCAATTCAATTCAATATATGCTTTATTGGCATAAATGGGTTGTTGCCACTGTGGCCAAAGCAATGTATATGAAGTATTACATAAATGAACAATATGTTTGAGCAACAATAATCATATACACTGAACAAAAATATAAACGCAACATGCAACAATTTCAACGAATTTACTGAGTTACAGTTCATATAAGTAAATCAGTCAATTGAAATAAATTAATTAGGCCCTAATGTATGGATTTCACATGACTGGGAATACAGATATGCATCTGTTGGTCACAGATACCTTTAAAAAAAAGTAGGGGCATGGATCAGAAAACCAGTCAGTATCTGGTGTGACCACCATTTGCCTCATGCAGCGCGACACATCTCCTTCGCATAGAGTTGATCAGGCTGTTGATTGTGGCCTGTGGAATGTTGTCCCACTCCTCTTCTGTGCGAAGTTGCTGCATATTGGTGGGAAACTGGAACACGCTGTCGTACACATTGATCCAGAGCATCCCAAACATGCTCAATGGGTGACATGTCTGGTGATTATGCAGGCCATGGAAGAACTGGGACATTTTCGGCTTCCAGGAATTGTGTTCAGATCCTTGCGACATGGGGCCGTGCATTATCATGCTGAAACATAAAGTGATGACGGTGGATGAATGGCACGACAATGGGCCTCCAGGATCTCGTCACGATATCTCTGTGCATTCAAATTGCCATCGAGAAAATGCAATTGTGTTCTTTGTCCGTAGCTTATGCCTGCCCATACCATAACCCCACCGGCACCATGGGGCACTCTGTTCACAACTTTGACATCAGCAAACCGCTTGCCCACACGACGCCATACATGCTGTCTGCCATCTGCCCGGTACAGTTGAAACCAGGATCCATCCGGGAAGAGCACACTTCACCAGTGTGCCAGTGGCCAGCGAAGGTGAGCATTTGCCCACTGAAGTCGGTTACAACACCGAATTGCAGTCAGGTCAAGACTCTGGTGAGGACGACGAGCTTCCCTGAGACTGTTACTGACAGTTTGTGCAGAAATTATTCGGTTGTGCAAACCCACCGTTTCATCAGCTGTCCGGGTGGCTGTTCTCAGACCATGCCACAGGTGAAGAAGCCGGATGTGGAGGTCCTGTGCTGGCGTGGTTACATGTGGTCTGTGGTTGTGAGGCCGGTTGGACGTACTGCCAAATTCTCTAAAACGACGTTGGAGGCAGCTTATGGTAGAGAAATGTGTTGTGTGACAAAACTGCACATTTTAGAGTGGCCTTTTATTGTCCCCAGATCTTGCTGTTTAATCAGCTTCTTGATATGCCACACCTGTCAGGTGGATGGATTACTTTGGCAAAGGAGAAATGCTGACTAATGGGGATGCAAACAAATTTGTGTACAAAATTTGAGACAAATAAGCATTTTGTGCATATGGAAAGTTTCTGGGATCTTTTATTTCAGCTCATGAAACATGGGACCAACACTTTACATGTTGTGTTTATATTTTTATTCTGTGTATATCAACAAAAACAATTATACATTATTATACATTCTCTCTCAGTCTGTCTTTCTCTCGCACTTCCAGCCCCAGACTGGAACCCACCTCTGTCCCTGTCTCTTCTCTCTTTCTCTCCCCGATTTACCCTCTCTCTGTTGTCTAGATGCACATACTACATAAAGTTACTGTATGACTAGTTTTAGTATGTAGCCTACTCTGGCCCAAATGAATAAACATTTGTTTTGATATGAAGGAATTAATTAACAAATGTTTTTTTTTTCTGACTCAGTGGCTGCACCACTAAGCCAAAACTCATATATACAGTGCCTTCGGAAAGTATTCAGACCCCTTGACTTTTTCCACATTATGTTGCAGCCTTATTCTAAAATTGATTAAATAGTTCCCCCCCCCCTCATCAATCTACACACAATACCCCATAATGATGAAGCAAAAACAGGTTTAGAAATGTTTGCAAATGTATAACAAAAAAAACCCCCGGAAATATCACATTTACATAAGTATTCAGACCTTATACTCAGTACTTTCTTGAAGCACCGTGGGTAGCGATTACAGGATTGAGTCTTCTTGGGTATGACACTTGGCATACCTGTATTTGGGGAGTTTCTCCCATTCTGCTCTGCAGATCCTCTCAAGCTCTGTCAGGTTGGATGGGGAGGGACAGCTGCACAGCTATTTTCAGGTCTCTTCAGAGATGTTCGATCGGGTTCAAGTCCAGGCTCTGGCTGGGCCACTCAAAGACATTCAGAGACTTGTCCCGGAGTCACTCCTGTGTTGTCTTGGCTGTGTGCTTAGGGTCGTTGTCCTGTTGGAAGGTGAACCTTCACCCCAGTCGGAGGTCCTGAGCACTCTGGAGCAGGCTTTCATCAAGGATCTCTGTACTTTGCTCCGTTCATCTTTCCCTCGATCCTGACTCGTCTCCCTGCCACTGAAAAACATCCCCACAGCATGATGCTGCCACCACCATGCTTAACCGTAGGGATGGTGCCAGAATTCCTCCAGACGTGACGCTTGACATTCAGGCCAAAGAGTTCAATCTTGGTTTCATCAGACCAGAGAATCTTGTTTCTCATGGTCTGAGAGTCTTTAGGTGCCTTTTGGCAAACTCCAAGCGGGCTGTCATGTGCCTTTTACTGAGGAGTGGCTTCCGTCTGGACACTCTACAATAAAGGCCTGATTGGTGGAGTGCTGCAGAGATGGTTGTCCTTCTGGAAGGTTCTCCCATCTCCACAGGGGAACTCTAGAGCTCTGTCAGAGTGACCATCAGGTTCTTGATCACCTCCCTGACCAAGGCCCTTCTCCCCCGATTGCTCAGTTTGGCTGGGCGGCCAGCTCTAGGGAAGAGTCTTGGTAGTTCCAAACTTCTTCCATTTAAGAATGATGGAGGCCACTGTGCTCTTGGGGATCTACAATGCTGCATAAATTTTTTGGTACCCTTCCCCAGAACTGTGCCTCGACACAATCCTCTCGGAGCTCTACCGACAATTCCTTCGACCTCATGGCTTGGTTTTTGATCTGACATGCACTGTCAACTGTGGGACCTTATATAGACAGGTGTGTGCCTTTCCAAATCATGTCCAATCAATTGAATTTACCACAGGTGGACTCCAATCAAGTTATAGAAACATCTCAAGGATGATCAATGGAAACAGGATGCACCTGAGCTCAATTTTGAGTCTTGTAGCAAAGGGTCTGAATACTTATGTAAATAAGGTATTTCTGTTTTTTATTTTTAATACATTTGCAAAACATTCTAAAAACGTATTTTCGCTTTGTCATTATGGGGCACTGTTTGTAGATTGCTGAGGATTTTTTCTTTTTTTTAATCCATTTTAGAAAAAGGCTGTAACGTAACAAAATGTGGAAAAAGTCAAGGGGTCTGAATACTTTCCGAAGGTACTGTATATAATAGTACAGTTGTTTATAGTTTTTACCTCTAGAGTGCAGCATTGCCTCCTCTTAGAAATCTTGTACAGTGGTTTTTAACCTAGAGATTCTTCACCATCATGGGGGTCTCTTCAGGAATCTTCAGGAAATTGGGACATTCCTTACATTGTTCCACCCCCCCCCCCACACACACCCCCCCACACACACACACACACACACACACACACAAACCCCACCACACACACACACACACACACACACATCCCGCCATTTTCTATAGTTTTTCTGGACAGTTTACTTTACTAAAGCTTCCACAGTGCTTTTAAGGCAAATAGCTAGCAGAGCATGAGGCAAACATTTCCAGCTGTTTGATGTAAATGATCATCATAAAACGTCAGAAGGATATAACGGACAATTTTGACCACATAGTCAGACAGTTTCTCCAACTCAACCAAAAATAAAAGTTAAAGAATGTGATTAAGCCAGTGGCTCAGATGGAACTATCCAAGCGGGACATTCTACAACTTCAACATCAACCATTGAACCCAACCTAATTGAATAAATCTTTATTTTAGTTTATGTCCATTCAGTTGGATATTTGTGGATAAGTTAATTTTCTAGTGTGCTGTGTGCTCCTGACTGTTCATTCTGCAACTGGTGACACCATTACTAGGGCGGAATCTTGTTCGGCCAACTGTTATCTGTATTTACGGTAAAAAATAAATTAAAAATATATGTTATGCCCGCCCCCTACCCCTGCCCATCTATTCGTCCCGTTGATTTGCTCCGACGGAGAAAGCAGGAAAGAAGAAAAGGGGATAAGATAAGTGAATAAAAGACATACGTTGCGTTGGGAAGAGCGAGAATACGAGACGGATATGTAAGTAAAATAAAAGATACAAGTGGATTGAATGGATCGGTTGGTAGTGTTTTACTTAGTTCGCAAACCGCAGCGTCGTCAAGGAGTGGTCACTGGGCACAGATCAGCACGACTTTTCCAATGACGGTGATTGGGGTTAAAACGCCCAAATTCCGCTCAGCACGGATAGCCAGCTTGAAGCCTGTCTAGTAGGCCATTGTGTCCACCACAAGTGGAGGCGGAGGACCTGATATCTAGCTACCAAACATTTTAACCAGCACGGAAGGTTAGTTTAAATTTAAACAAGGCTGCTCGCTGTGTTAGCAACTAACGTTAGCGTGCCAGCTAACTTGTTCTAATCTAGCCACGGATGGTTAGTTCACTGGTTAACTAGTCAAACAAACAAACAAGCTAGCTAGCTAACGATAACTTGGTTAACTAATCCTCTTGTTAGCTAACAGTAGCTAACTGGTCAACCAACCGAACTAGCCCGAGCGTTTTAGAAATAGGAACTTGCTGCATTCTTGTCATTCATAACTAGCTAGCTGACGTTTTTCCATTGTTTTGTTAGCTAAACGTAGCTAGTCACTGTTAGCTAGATATGTTTGGATGAAAACCCATTAGAAAATCCAGATGGCGTAACTAACTAGCCATCGTTCCCTGAATAAC